GTGAATATATTAGAGCCGAATGGTTAATTATGTATCCCACCACGCAGAATACATAATTAACCACCATATTGATAATAGAATGAAATGTAATGGATGAATAAAAAACAACAAATAAATGTAGTGGGTGAATATATTAGAACTGAATGGTTAATTATGTATCCCACCACGCAGAATACATAATTAACCACCATATTGAAAATAGAATGAAATGAAATGTAATGGGTGAATAATTAAAATATTAATTGAATGATAAATAATATTTGATATTTTTTAATGATAAATAATACTTGATATTTTTAAATGATAAATAATACATGATATTTTTAAAAGATAAATAATACTTGATATTTTTTAATGATATATAATATTTGATATTTTTAAATGATAAATAATACTTGATAAGTTTAAATGCTAAATATTGCTTGATATTTTTTAAATGCTTAATAATTTTTAATGATAAATAATACTTTGATATTTTTAAATGATAAATAATACTTGATATATTTAAATGATAAATAAGACTTTATATGTTTATATGATAAATAATACTTGATATTTTAAATGCTAAATATTACTTGATATTTTTTATGCTAAATAATAGTTTTGATATCTGTATGATCCAAAATACTTAATCAATTTTTTATTTACTTGTATATTATATATTTATTTATATTATTTTTTTTTTTTTTTTTCTTTTAATTTTATTTTAAATCAGATATAAATATTTATTAATTTTTAAATAGTTTTTTTGAAATTATTTCTTTTTCTTTTTTTTTATAGTTTTTAATAAAATTTTATATATTAAAATTTTTTTTTTTTTTTTTGAGGGTAAAAAAATCATTTATATGTCTTTATGATAAAAAATCCTCGATAGTTTTAATGCGTTAAAAATCATTTATATGTTTTAATGAAAGAATATCCTCGATAGCTTTAATGCTAAAAATCTTTTATATATTTTAATACTAAAAAATCCTCGATAGTTTTATTGCTAAAAAATCCTCGATATGTTTTGATAATATTTTTTTTTTTTTTTTTTTTTTTTTTTAAGGATTTGGTTTAAAAATCTAAAAAAATTTTTTTGACCCAAAAAAAAAGAAAGCTTTAAGGCTAAAAAACCCCCGATGGTTTTTTTGCTAAAAAATCTTTAATTTTTTTTAATGGCTAAAAAACCCTCGATGGGTTTAAGGGTTAAAAATCTTTTATATGTCTTTATGATAAAAAATCCTCGATAGCTTTAATGCTAAAAAATCTTTTATATGCTAAAAAATCCTCGATAGCTTTAATGCCAAAAAAATCTTTTATATATTTAAATGCTAAAAAATCCTCGATAGTTTTAATGCTAAAAAATCTTTTATATTTTTTTAATGCTAAAAAATCCTCGATAGTTTTATTGCTAAAAAATCCTCGATATGTTTTGATAATATTTTTTTTTTTTTTTTTTTTTTTTTTTTTGATTTTTTTTTTGACCCAAAAAAATACTTACCTTAAAAAAAAACTTGAAAATTTTGAATTTACCTGAATGGGTATAATGAAAAAAAAAAAATTTTATGAAATTATTTTCAAAATTAATTAATTCATTAATCTATAACTATTTCCTAATTTATTTAAAACATCAATTCCAAAATAAGTAAAATTTGTATTGCAGAAAAAAATGTAGATCTGCTACAATCAAAATTGGTAATAATTTGAAACAGGGGAGGTTTTTTTTTTTCAAAATTTTTTAATTTTCAAATAAATTAAACACATCTTCCTTTTAAAGAAATCATTTTTCCATTTATATTATTTTATTATAATTCATTTCATAATTCATATGGGTAAAGGGAATAAAGTAAGAATTTGGTAGTTCATTATATTAAAATGAAATTGGTATGGTGGCTGAATGAAAATAAATTAAAAAAAAAAAAAAAAAAAAAAAAAAAAAATTTTATTTAATTTAATAATTTTAATTTTTTTTTAAATTCCTTTAAAATTTTTTAACCATTTTTTAATTTTTTTTTAAATAACAAGGAGCGCTTTTTTTAAAATTTTTTTTTTAAAATTTGGAAATTTTATTAATTATTTAAATTTTTTTTTTTCCTTTTCCCAAAATAAAAATTAAATTATTTATCCTTCACCATAAAACCATAACCCCCTTTATTTCTTTAAAAACCTCACAATTTTTTTGGGCCCACCCCCTTTCCCGGAGGACAAAAATGAAATAACCTCACAATCAAAGTCAGCAGTATAACAAAACTTTATCACCATTTCAAATTTCAAATTTCAAATACCAAACACATAAATATTTTTATTTTTTACAACACACCAAAAACACTTAAATGTTTTTTAAACCATTTAAAACCAAATATTAACAATCACAAGTAAGTAAACTATCATATACATATAAACAATAACCGTTTTTAGAAATGGGCGTAGTTGAAGAAAAAAATGAAGATAGAAACATAATTACTAACCAAATTATTTGTTATTATTAGATCGTAAGTATCACTGAAAGAACGTTCTGAAGCCTTAGACCTTGTCAAAGCAATCAAAACATTTTATTTTTTTTCTATAGAAATGCCATCACTGACCATTTAACTCATCAACACTACCGCAGTACTTTAATGAAAACCAAATTGTTAAAATAGCAAATTACAATAACCTATTCAATCCCTTTATAACAATTCAAAGAACCCCAATTATATCTAGTAAAATAATAATCAATCTTATGATATTATTCAATCTAATATACTTTTGAGCATACCAACTTTGTTCTGGCCAAGTAACTTTGCTATAACATTAAAACCTTTTAGATGAAAAGAACAGTAGTCCTTATCCGTTATCAAATACTGAATAGAAGACCATAATATCTGTTGAAAGAACTCAATTAGAATATGAAAGTGTAATCTTTCTAAAAGTTGTTGTTAAATTAAAAAAAAAATTGTGTATACAAATTATTTTTTATAAATAATATAAAAAGGGGATGTAGCTCAGATGGTAGAGCGCTCGCTTAGCATGCGAGAGGTAAAGGGATCGATACCCTTCTTCTCCATAATCTTAGGCAAGTTTTATCTTCCATGTGATTTTATATGCACCAAACTATTTAACAAAGAGATTAACCCAAATGCAATTGCTAAATCATTAAACTATAATGACATCCAACACAAATGGACCAAACTCGCCTCACTAGAATATGCAGGAACGATCCAATCAAACTACAACAGCTTCCTAAAAGTAGATAAGCAAATAAATTCAAACCATATCCAAACCATTAGATCTAAAATATCAACCTTTTATAAATTACCAGAAACCACTTTGATCAATTTCCCAATCAAATACCTATAACAATACAAATCCTCACACATACCATTTAATAAATTTTATCTAATAAAATACCGTCTCTTACACTAATAATATAAATTATATTATTAAGTAAGATTTTTTAAAAAAAAAAAAAAAAAAAAAAATTAGAATTATTTATATTTATTATTTATCTATAACTAAATTAGCTCCATCTACATTACAATCAAGGATTCATTCAAAACTCGCTAAATATCTTGTATTACAACCATTTAAAGAATCATTGTATTTTGAAAAATATGTTACATCTGTGATCTCTATAAAAAAAAAAAAAATATCTCAACAAAGTAATCTTCACTTTTTTAAAAAAAAAATATATCAACTAAGAATATAGAAAGTTTAAAAAAGAATAGCAAGAGCACACTTCATCAGAAACAAATCATTACCAAATATCAATAGTTTATATCTTCACATAGTAAAAAAAAAACAATTTGGGGGTTATGCTAGCTTGATGGTTATTCCTTATTATTTTCCATTAAATTTATATGAAAAAATAATTATTATGACATCAACGATTTCTTTTTAAATTTATTTTTTTTTTTTTTTTTTTTTAATTTTTTATATTTTTAATTTTTTATATTTTTTATATTTTTTTTTTGTGGTGTGTAATATAAAAATAACTTTTAATGGATTTAGTTTAATAAATAACTAAATATTTATTTTGTTATTTTTTAAATAATTTTAAAAAATGAAATTTAAAAATTATTTATTTATTTTTATTTTAATAATTAATTTAATAAATTGTCAAATCTATTCAATCGACCATGTAGAGATCACAGATGTAACATATTTTTCAAAATACAATGATTCTTTAAATGGTTGTAATACTACACTCTTAATTAAAGTAGATCTAAAAGATAATTTAGCAAAACAATTTCCCTTAGATAATTTTCAATCAACAGATCCCTCTATTATATTAGATTCAGTTGTAACAAATATTTTCAAAAATGATAGTATTGCTATTTTCCAATTGACCTGTTTAAACACAAATATAAATTTAAAACAATTATCAATAGAAGGTAAAAGTACTGCAAATTCTTCTATAATACAAATTTTTGGCAATATCAAAGAATTATCTTGTAATGGTATGTATATTTATTATAATGTTTTAAAATGGTAATTTAATTTAATTTAATTTAATCATTTATATATAAATTAATTTTTTTTTTTTTTTTTTTTCAAAATTTAGCTCCACCAACAAATTTAGGAGTTAAAGTCAATTACACAAACTCTATACCCATCGATAGAGCAAACGACTTTTTGTTTGAAGTTGCATTATACCTTGAGAATGTTGCAAATATTCTTTTTATAGATTTTATGATCACCTCAGATAATACTGCATTTTCTTTGGAATATGAAAAATTATCAAATATAGAATATATTTTAAAATTTAAAATTGCTAATGCAACCAATTTAACCGATAATCAAATAATTAAAATTACTCCGAAGAACCAACTTTCAACTTCTGCACAGACAAGCTTTTCTTCATTTACCATCAATCCAATTATTAAAAGTAAGTATTATAAAAATATAAAATAATTATTTTAGTTATTTATTTAATTATTTATTTATTTTTTAAAGGATCATTAAATAATCAATATTCAGATATTAAATATTATGCATGGTCTGATTCAAATGAAAAGTATGGTTATTATTTATTTAATGTAAAAAATGATAATAATTTTGTTCCAATGGTTGGTTATAATTCAGAGACTACTTCAATCGATGACTCTTTAAAGCATTTAATCAAAACTGCATACCCCATTTCTGGTAATCAAACTGACCTAACATTTATTGGTTACTTTAAAGCACCCGTTTATACACCAAATTTGGTTCAAGATGTATTTTCATTTTTCTCATCTAATGAAAATCAAACTGAAATACATACATCCTATCCAGTTTGTAAGTATATAATTATTCTATCACAAAAGAATTTGTATTAATACTATTTATTTAATTTAATAATTTTAAAGCTCCACCATTTAATACAGGTTTTACTGGTTCTTTACAAAGTAGTTCAGTTGATGGGCCATACTACTTAACAACGTACTATTCAATCTATTCTGAAGAAACTGGTAATGATGTACCTTTTCCATATAGTTATTCAATGCAAACTATTTTAGATTGGAAATATCAAAATGATTATTATCCACACTACTGTATTAAAGAATATACTCCAAGCAGTATAGTATTCAGCCATGAAACTTATGCACCACAATACTTTTTCAATGGAAAACCAAATCTACAATATAGCCGTAAAGCCTCATTCTCTGGTAACCCATACCAAGATGTTTCAATTGGAACAGTCTCTAATTCTATCGATCCAAATATTGGTATGTCAAATTTTATTTTTTATATTTTTTTTGATACTAATAATTATTTTTTAAAGAAAATATTCCACCAATTATTTCAGATATTAAATTAATTCCACTTATTGGATATGGCTATAATATTAGATTTACTATTCAATATACATCAGCTTTTACTTTTTCATATTTAAAAATAAATGGGCAAGTTTTAACAGCACTTAATATGGCAGCAAGTGGAATAGTCGAAAAGTTAGTTAATGAAAGTTTTGTTATTTCGATGAGAGATTCTTTTACAATTTTAATTTGTGATACAATTTATAGCTGTAATGAAAAAACATATTACCCAAAGACCTTCAATTCGTTAGGATACATACCATTCCCATCATTAGTTTTACCAAATTGTAAGTAAAGGATTTCAAAAATTTTATTTAAATATTTTATTAATATTTTTTTTTAGATGAAATTATAAATATTTTTGATATCCAATCATTATATTTCCAAAGTTCAACCATTAGTTTAAGTGATCAAAGCTTAGATAATAGAGCCAACAAAGTATTTTTGAAAGTAAATACCGCATCAAATAATTATCCAATTTATTTTAAACTAAACAAATTCTCGAAAGATTTAAGACCATTCAAATTTAATTCTAAGCTTGGTTTATATGAATGTTCATTTACCGTTCCAAAGAACTATATCAATGGCAAACTAAATTACTTTATTGTTTTAAATGATAAAGAATATAGTTATTCTAGTCTTTATTCATTGGTCGGTGGTGCAAATTCTACGGTCACCGTTCAACAATCTGCAACAGTTGATGTTAGCCCACCATTTGTTACCTCTATTGTATCATTCCCAAGCTCACAAGTCGAAATTAGTACTACAGTTACACATTTTGGTTGGGAAATAGAAATTAAAGATCAAGCTAATGGCTTCGAGTATGGTGAAATTAATATTACAAGTACTCTTAATCCAGTTCCAAGAACATATAAAATTAAACCACAATATTTAAATAACAATATCTATACAATTGATATTTCACCAAATCAAAATTGCACAACTCAAACTTATTCAATTAGTTCAATTTATCTCAGAGATACAGAGGGATATGAATCTTATTCTTCAGATCAAACAATATCAGCACTTTTCCAAGTTGCAAGCTCAAATGATTTTAAAGTTAATGTTATATGTTCCTCGGAATTCTATGAATCAGTTAGACCCCAGATCACCGAATTCAATGTACCCTTTACTGAATATGATTACAGTGTTGCACCCTCAAGCTATCTAATTCAATATAAAATTAAAGATTCAAGTCTTTTCGATCCAAATTCTCAAGAGTTCCCAACTGTATACCTTCAAGATGATTTCGGTAATTTATTTGTCCTCTGTAATAGTAGTAATACTGGACCTTTAAATGACTATGATGGTACTTTTTTGACTCTTATATGTGACACATACCAATTGCCTTTTGGATTTGGATATCCAGGTTCTTTGTTGTTATCAATATATGGTATTGTGGATCAATTTTCAAATGTTGCTGGTTACGGAGGTTACTCTTTAAGTAACAGTTTCGGTGCAAACACAGTAATAAATACCAAAATGTCTTCAGCTAAGCCAATTATTTCATCATCAAGTTCACCAGGACTCATCAATAATGGTAAAAACGTTATAATCACTATTTATGGTGCATTTTTTGGAACCCAACAATCTGATTTTTCTGTGACAATTAACTCACCAAGCGACTCGACATTAGTAAATGGGGACGGAATTAATGTTTCTCCAAGCAAATCTAGAAATCTTTTAGGAGTTAATGATTTACCAGTCTCAGTTCTTTTATATACTGGCACCCAAATAGTAGTTAATGCAGATATTTCATCCATTGTAACCAATACAGTTGAAATTTCATTCTCTATTAATGGCCAAACATCAAATACCTATCAATACATTCTTCCTTCTACATCTGTTGTTGGCTCATCCGTTGAAAACTCTGATAGTACAATGGATTCTACAAGTGGCAGTAAAGATGTTGATTGCAAGGCCCTTAATGAATGTGGCGGCCCAACTCAAGGTATTTGCATTGGTAAAAATACTTGTACATGTTTATATGGCTGGATTGGTATTAGTTGTCAATCTAAACCATTAGAGGGTGTTACTATTTCCGTAGATACTGAAAAACCAAGTGCATCTTTAGCTCAAGAAGGCAGTGCTTATAAACTTTTAAGTTTAATTAATCTTTATCAGTTAAGAGAAATTGATATTACTGGTAAAGTTATAAACACATTCGATTTACAAAAAAAATGGGATGGTAAAAAACTAGATACAAAATCTCCAGAACAATACCTCTTCTCGAATGTTATCAGAGAACCAACAACTATATATTCAACAATCAGCGTATATACTCAACAATCATCATTTGAGTTTGCAGATACTAAATATCAAATTAATCCAAATTCAATTAAATTTACTGTTAATATTACTTCATATCAATTTAAATCACCATTTAATACTTTAGAGTTAATTATGCAAGCCAAATTAGATTCCAGCCAAAAAAATAATATTTGTTCAAAAAAAACCACAACATTAGCAACCGATTCAGATTTTCTCAGTGTTCAATTGAATGAAAAATCATTATATTGTAGATTCTTAAAAAAAGCGCTTGTTGATGGGGAACTAAAAGTACCAGTAGAGCATGTAAACAAGAATGATGAGTTCAATGTTACTCTTTCTGGTAATTCGGGTACTTACTTTTATGCTATCGAGTTACCAGCCTATAAAGACTATATTTTAATCGATCCAGGTATATATTCAAAAAGAAAATTATTTCTTTACAAAAAACAATACTAATTATTTTTAAAAAAAAGATTTTTCATTATTATTAGAAACTAAAACTATTACAGGGGCAGATCAAAACGCAACATGTGCCTCAAGTTCAAATAGCAAATTAAGTGGTGGTGCCATAGCAGGTATTGTTGTAGCTGGTGTCGCTGTTATTGTAGTTTCAGCAATTATAGTTGGTTCATTAGTATTCAGAAAATTCAGATTCAGTAACTTTACTATGGCTATTCGTGGCTGGAACTCTAAAAGACGTTCTCGTAAGAGCTCAAGTTATGGTTTAAAAACATTTTAAAATGTATTAATAAAATAATAATTATATAATAAAACCTAAAAGAAATTTTAGATTAAAATAACAATAAAATTTTATTTATTTAATTTTTTTAAATTAAAAGGAGAACCTGAAATTGAAGTGTTATTAACTCTACCATTTAGACAAACTAGATTACATTTGATATCTATTTCATTATTGATTGGTGGCGATGTTATTTTAAATGGAATTGAAAATGGTGTTAAATTAATATCTAATAATTCAATATCGCATTGTTCTGTGATAAAGCTTTTAATATTTAATTGATTTACAATTGGAGAAGGAACATTCTTTAATCTACATTTTATGATACCTCTTACTTGATTGGATGATTTGTCAATTTCAACGTTATCTAAATAGAACAGTGAGGATAATAATTTACTACAAAGGTTATTGAATATTTGATTATTTAAAATAAAGCTTCTTGATTCATTCTTTAGTAAGTTTCTTGAGCTTTCATCTGATGAATCTAATGATATATGTTTCGATAGTTCTGGATTTAATCTAAATGATATATCGTTCATCCATTGGTTTTCTCTTATCATTCCACCATATGTTTCTTCTGATTCTGAACTAATGAATGATTGCGAAGCTGATATAGACCCATTATTTTGTTTGTGAGTTGTATTATTATTGTTATTTAAATTATTTAATATATTGCTATCTTTAAATGTTGTACCGGTACCCAATGATAAAAAAATATCCATATTGTTTTCATTCCATAGTTGTTTTGTTTCTGATAGAGCTATATTGCAAGGATTCTTGTTTAATAATGCACCATCTCTGTATTTGTTGTTACCAAGTTTAAATGATGGAAAGAATGATGGTGTTGCGCATGTTGCTAAACCTGCATCTAATATTGAAGCATTACGGACTTCACTAATACTATCTATTGATGGGATTCTAAAATAAAATGGGAATATACATGGCTTGATATGTTCATTATAGTCTAAAGTTTCTTTTTGTTCATTACCTAATTGAAAACTCTCATCTAAAACTGAGGTAACTGCAACTTTAACTTTTTTATATGAGTTTACATCTTCAGGATTTGTGGATACTGTTTGAGATAATAGTTTTATCATTTCTTGGTTTCTATATTTATTTGCTCTACAATTTAATTTATATAAAGTATTTGTTTTATAGACCTTTTTTGCAATCTTATCAAATAAATCTACCATTTGTAATGGGGTTTTGTTTGTAGTTGCTAACGATAATGCAACGATACCCCCCGTTGATGAGCCAATCATATAGTCGAAAAGATCTGATATTGGGGTTGCATATAGTTGTTTCTCTATTTCGTCTAATAAAACACATTGAACAATTGAACGGATTCCACCACCTCCATCTAACGATAATACTCTATAACCCATTAGTGATGATAGGTCAGCTTCTCTTTCAACAACTTGTCCTCCTCTACATATTGTACAACGTCCTTTATTTACTGATTGATCATTGGCACATTTGGAACAAATAATATGACCACAGGGCTCACATGAAATGGTTGGAAAATCTAATATGCATCCAAAGCAAACTTTTAAAGAATTGATTATATCACGTTTACCCAAACAATTGTTCACTACTTGTAAATATCCAGCAAAAAATTCATTTGACATCTTATCTAATTCACCTTCTAAATAGCTATTTAGATCTGTGAAAAGAATAATTGAATAAAAATCACCAGACCATGAGCATGAAAATGGAACTACCTTCTTCTTCTTTATACAACTTAATAAACCAGATTTTTCTACAATTTGATTCTTAGTTGCCATGTGAATTTCGTGATTCTTTTTAATATTGCAACAACTTAATGTTGAATCACCTTCAAAAATCGCTGAGCATGGAATATAATTTTCAATATGTTTTGATACATTGTAAAGAACGTCGCTAAATTCTTTACTAATCTCTTTGGTATATTTGAGGTTATTTCTTTTTTGGAATTTGATATAAACTTCAGCCAATCTAGATTTTAATTCATTTAATGATTTTTCATAAACTTCAAATTTACTATAAAATGATTTTTGTTCATTTGAATTTTCATTTTGGGATTCATTGTTGTGTAAATTTGAAATATTATTTGATGATGATGATGGTGATATATTTACTACTTTAGATGTTGTAAAAAATTGATAATGTAAATCAAAGTAACACTTTAAAAATGATTCTAGTTGTTCATAACTTAAATTTAATTGTTCAAGAGTTTTGGTGCCACTTGATTTTAGTTCGGTATTTGGAAATAAACTATTATAATAATCCTCTTCTTCTTTTTGGTTTCTTAGATTTTTAAATGATGGATAAGATGAACTTATAACACTGTTTTGGTAAGATGTATATGCTGATGTTGATGATGTGCTTTTTTGTAATACTGGGTAATTGATATTTAAATAGCTGATATTATAATTGTTGTTAAAATAATTATATCTATTGCTATTATTTAAATTATTGTTACAATTATTTACACTATAAGTATTGATTGAAGCATTATTTCTAAAATTATTATTATTTATATTATTATTATTACTATTACTATAATTATTTTCTAGACTAAATGGTTGATTTAATATTACATTGGATTTAAGATTATTAGGTGAATTTATTTTTAAACCATCACTATTTTGGAAACATAATTTTGGAGATGGCAATGCAGGTGATGAATATGAATACGCAAGAGATGATGGTGAATGAATTCTATCCATTTGTTTTAATTGATTTAGTTTACTTTCAATAGACTTTAATTCAATTGGATTAACTTTGGGTCTAATTTTTTCAATATTATTATTTGATAACTTTTGAGTTAAAGTTTGTTTTTGGTTAAGAATTGATTTTTCCTGTGCTGGTAATATTTCGTTATTAAATATTTCTTGTTCTGGTTCTTTTGATAAATTTTCTTTTTTATCAATTATAATTTCTATTTCTTTACCGCTATTGTTATCGTTATTAGTATTGATATCATTATTATTATTTTCTTTATCATTATTAGTATTTTCGATATTCTTATAACTAATATTATTATTGTTGTTATTATTATTATTATTATTATTATTGTTATTGTTATGGTTATTGCTACTACTATTATTGTTATTACTATTATCCATTATATTTTTATTTTCTTTAAAACTATTATTTTCATTATCCACAGTGTTATTAATACCTTCATTTTTTAATAATGATAAAAGATTATTTGATGAATTACTAACTAATATTTGATTTTCTATATCTTTAACTTTTTCTTTTACAATATTATCTCCATCACTACTATTATTTTTATTATTTAAATGTAAATTACTATCATTTTCAATTTGATTAAATTGTTTAAAAAATTTTGGTGAAGAAAATTTAATTTGTTTTTTTTGTGGAGTTTGTGGTTGTGGTTGTGGTTGTGGTTGTTTTATACATTTTTCATCAGGGGAATGTAAAATTAAATGAACTGAATTGCTATATGTATTATTTATTCTATTTTGTGAATTGGGAGATACATTAATGGTCGAAAATGGTGATGATCTGTAGTAATTATATATATTATTGTTGTTATTATTAATATTATTAATATTATTAATATTATTTATATTTGAACTATTTAAATTAATTTTTTCACAATGAGCTAGTGGTGATTTATGAAGAGATTGGGGTGATAATAATATTGGATTTGAGGTTTTTAATGGTGATGATGAAGGTGTTGTTTTACTACTACTACTATTACTACAAGTATTTGTTACAATTCTATTTTCGATATCTTTAATTTTATCTTTAACCCCCCCTGTTGAAAAACTAAGGGGATTTGCTTGGTAATTATTAATACTATTATTATTATTATTTAAGATAATATTATTATTATTATTATTTGGTAAATTACCATAACTTGAGTATAAAAATAATTGAGCAGTATTGGTGGAGTGTGATTTTGAATGATAATTATTTTTATTTGATACCATTGTTTATAAATTTAATAAAATAAATAAAATTAAAAATAAAATTAAAAAGTTAAAATTAAATTACCTGTGTTTTTTCTGTAAAAAAAAAATTTAAAAAAAAAAAAATTAATTTTTAATTATAAAAAAAAAAAAAAAAAAAAATTAATATGATTTATTATTAGAAAATTGAGTTTTTTAAATTTTTATTATTAAAATCGATATGTCTTAAATCGCTTAAAAAAAAAGGGAATTTAAAAAAAAAAAAAAAGTTAAGAAAAAAATAAAAAAGATAAAAAAAAAAAAGGTAAAAATAGATCCCCCTTTTGCACAAATAAAAAAAAAATATAAATAAATATTTAATTTAATAATTACAAGTATGGTAAAATCCAAAAATGAATAAAACAATGAATAAATAAAGTTTTCTTAATGAATTAAATAATTTAAAAATAAATTATTATTTTATTGCGTAATCTAGTAAATACACACAAAATAAAAAAAAATAAAAAAATTACAAAAACTTTAACTCTAATAATTGGTGATGAGGCACAAACAGCACGTTTAACACTCTTCACAAAAATAGTAATTTAAATAAATAAAAATAAATTATTAAATACAAAACAAATTAAAGTTATAAAAAAAAAAAAAAAATAGAGGTATTTTTAATATATAAATAAAAAAAAACAAAACAAAAATTAAAATTAATTTTTATTATAAATATATATATAAAAAATTTAATGAAAAAAAAAAAAATGAAATGAATTTAATTTAACATGTAATTAAAGTTGAGTTTTCCAATATTCACATTTTTTTATATTTTTTTTTTTTTTATTGAACGAAAAATTCTGATAAATAATCATCATATCATTGATGGGTTTTGTGTGAACTCTAAATTTGGATTTGAAAAAATTTATTAATATTATTATTTTGGTTTTGGGGTGGGAGGGGGGGGGTGTGTTAAGTGTCAATTAATCAACCATCAAACGCTCACATAGATTTTAAGAAAAAAAAAAACACCCACACCCACACACCACACTATTCAACAAACAACCAACATGCAAATTTTTTTTTTGAGTTATTTTAAATAGATATACATAAATAAAAACAATATTTTTTATCACTACAATTATTTTTAAAATCTGTATCTCTCCATACACACATTCACAAACACCTCACTCCAATTAAAAATTGTAATTCACAACAATAATATTAACACACAAAATTGTGTTTTATTTTTTCTTTTAAATAATATGTATGTATGTAAGTCACACATAAATTTGTAGTTTTATTGTTGTTTTTTTATTTCACATTAATTAAAATGTATATATTTATTTATGTTTTAAATATTTGAGCCACCAACATGCAGTTAAATAAATATATATGTGATTGTATGTGAGATTTACATCAATATAATTTAATACATCATTTATTCATTATAAAAGTTAAAATAATATTCATTTGATTTTTTTTTCTCTTTTTATATCTATTTTAATACCATTATTTAATTTATATTTAATAGAACGATAAAAAACAACTGGTACCAATTTATAATGATGTTGTTGTAATATTAATATTGTTGTTATTATCGAGTTGTGTTATAGAAAAAAAAAGTAGTTATATATGATTAGTGAATATATATGGAAGAAATAGGTGCTAAAGAAGTATGGTTGAATAACTTGTGTTTTTGTTGTTATTTATAATGCTCTTTGTTTTTTTATATAAGTGTGGTGTGTTTTATATATATATGTGTTGGTGGTAATAGCGGTATTTATATAAACATACAATTAATATTAACATGTTATATTAATATTCAATATTAAAAAAAAAAAATCTAAATAATATATATATATTTTTTTTTTTTTTTTTTTTTTACATATTACATATAAACAATCAATATCATCAAGTATACATCATCAATATTAAAAACATCATCATCATCATCAATATTTATACTTTACTACTACTGTATCATTTTAAAAAAAAAAAAATTTAGTTTGAATAAAAATGAAAAAAAAAATAATTAATTTTAAAATCATTCCTTTTTAAGTGTATTTAAGGGGGTTAATATTATATTAATTTTTTTCGAGTGTGGGTGTTGGTAAAATTATTTTTCAAAAAATATATTTATAATTAATTAAATTATTTTTTCCCATTCTTTTAAAACTTTTCAAAGATCTAATAAATTTATATATTATTTTATTTTTGTAACTATTCGATATATAAAAGTTTGAAAAAAATTATATTAATGTAAAGATATTATTGAAAAATAGTTTAAGTTTTTTTTTTTATAGTTAACAACACATTTATATTATATATATTGGGAGTGGTGGTTAAGTTAATTAAATTAATTTATCTTTTTAAGGATATTATTATAAATACAATTTTTTATTTGGTATTGTTGTTTTTGATGAAATTTTTTTATCCTTTTAAATTTTTTTTTTTTAATCTAAATTGAAATTATATAATCTAACTAGATGATTAAATACACCAATAATACGTGTTCTATCGTAACGAACATTACTACATCCAGAAACTAATGGAACAGGGTCACTTTCATTTACCATATTTGAACCACCTAAAAGTGAATATAAACGATTTCTTTTATCCCAAACTTTGATTGTATTATCCATTGAGCCAGTGACGATCTTACTATTATCAATTAAAATACTATTTACTCTATTTGTATGATTTGAAAGAGTTGAATAATGATTAAGATTGCCATCTAATACTGTAACACTATTACTTTTACTGTAAGCTACAGTATCATTGGTAGCAGAAATAATTAGTGGAACATCTACTAGTGGTACTGTGTTTATTTGTAATCCAATGTGTGGTGGGTGTGGAACTGGTGCAATATGGATAGGTGGATGTGGAACTGGTGCAATATGGATAGGTGGGTGTGGAGTTGGTGCGATATGGATAGGTGGGTGTGGAGTTGGTGCAATGTGGATAGGTTGGTGAGGAATTGGTGCAATATGAATTGGTGAAAAGTTAAGTGCAGTTGTTTTTAATAGCTTTCCACTTTTAATGTCATACTTAATAATACTATCGCTTGCAGTAGTGGCAAAAATAAAATCTTTGGTAGGTTGGAACCATTGTACACCTGGTAATCTATATAATGGCTTATCTTGTTTTCTCATATCCCAAGCATCCAAATAATCTACAGTATTTGTAAAGAATAAACCATCAGTGTTAAATTGAGCAGATATAACCTCGCCATAGATACCCAACATTCTATCACTTTCCTTTCCGCTTCTTCTATGATCCCAAATTAAAAGTTTTTCACCACAGGTAATTAATTGGCCTTCGATATTTGAATTATAGTTAATTGATTTAATTTCTCCACTTTTTTAAAAAAAATTAATAAATTAAAAAAATTAATATTTATAATGAATTATTGTTTTTGTTACATAACCGCTATTTACCTATTATGTTTAAATACATTTGTTTCAATACCAGACTCTAAATCATTAATTCTTACACTTGAATCTGCAGAACCTGATGTAACTGAATACTGACGTTGTTTTAAACAAGTAATTCTATCTGTGTGGCCAGTGAATGTAAAAATATTATTGTTTTTTTTAGCTGTTAAATCCCAAACCTTTACTGTATTATCTACACTACCAGTACACATTATATTACCAATGTGATCAATTGCTGTAATTGGCTGGGTATGACCACGGAAAGGAATCATTTTAAAAGTACCTGATGCACCTTTGTTTGAATTCTTTTCATTTTTATAATGAATTTGATAACATTTTTTATAATCATAATTATATTTTTCTAATGATGTAAAAAATTGTGCGCTTTTAAAGAAAAAAAATATTTATTAATATTTAATGATAAAGTTTTATTTTTCTTCTAATAATAAATTTTACATACTCTTGAAGCAATTTAGCTTTCCAAATCCATGAATGATTAATAATTTTATTAAATTCTTTTGAAACAAATGAAAAACCTAAAATTTCTTTTGTTGTAAAATATAAAAATATTTGTGCATAAATTGTAGCTGGTAAACTTAAAATCTTTAAAAAATATTAATTAAAAATAATAATAATACAATTTAAAAAATTTAAAAAATACTTACATCGAAAGTGATTTTTTTAATATTAATTTGTGGTGATTGTGCAACAACATTTATATTATTGTTGTTTTCATTGTTGTTGGTGTTTCCATTATTCTTTTCCTCACTGTCGCTATCAACTACATCAATACCTTTAAGTTTTAAAATTCTTTTATTTAATGCCTTGTCAATTGGTGGAAGTGGTAATTGAAACTCTAGTTTACAAAATGGGCAATATGGTTCGAGTTTGTAAGATTTCTCTAAACATGCTTTGCAAAATGAATGTTGACAAAATAATGTAACTGGATCTGTAAATAAATCGAAACAAACCCAACAATTAAAATCATACATTTTTATTATTTATATTTAGTAATTATTGTTTATTATTTATTTAGTTATTATTATTTTTTATTAAAAAATAAAATTAATTAAATTTTCAAAAAAAAACTTTAAATAAAAAAAAAAAATATCAAAAACTTTAAATAAAAAATAAAAAATAAAAAAAAAAAAAGAAAAAATCAAATATTTTTAACACACAATCAAAGAAAATTTTTTTAAATTTTTTTATTTTAAT